GTGTGAACCATGGCTCCGTGTTGAAGGACTTTGACCTATAATTGTTTACTTTTTACACATTGTGACTTGGATGAGTTGTCTCATTGGCCCTCAAATCACATCTTCTTATTTCTATTTATGACAAAAATTTCTATATATTTCAGTTTACTTTGTTCAACTACACCAACATTGTTTCGGAAGAAAAAAAAAATTGTTATTTGTCTTCCGTGTTCTTATCTAGTCGTTTCTTCCGGGTTATTTTAATTAGTCGAAACGGCATATTTTAAATAGTATATTGATACATTTCAGTGCAATTTATTACAACCATTGTCAACGTGTTTTGTTCAGTTCGATAGGCTTACAAGTGTCATATATTGTATTTATTTCTGGTGCAGCTTGACTTGACATTGCTTTGTTATTTTACAATATATCAAAATTTTGCAGCTACAGTTTATAAGACTTACAGACTACTATGCGGTATGGGCTTTTGAAAGCCGTACAGTGGCCTATAGTTGTTAATGCATGTGTCATTGGGTCTCTTGTGGAGAGTTGTCTCATTGGCAATCATACTACATCTTCTTTTTTAAATATACATAAATACACCTGTTGCTTATCATACATGTTTCTATAAAAAATGACAGAAAGCAAAGGCATGTATACAACTGTTAACGTAAGGGAAAATATCAAGCGTAGTGTTTGTTTTTTGTTTTTGTTTTTTTTTTAAAGATTACTAAGACTCACTTCAATGCACTTACAAAAAGTAATTACAAGTGGAATCGATGTTGTATCTTATATGCGGGTGCCAATTATAGAAGATCATCACAAACTATAATCAAAAAATATTTCAAAGTTTTATTAACATTGTACTAGTACAAACATAAATTTATATCAAAAATATAAGCAAAACAATCATATAGATGGTTTCCAGTATACAAAATAAAACACACTTGATGCAAATTCTAAGTCTCCTTCATGCTAGTTCTAAAAAATCTTTTAATAATTAACAGTTCAACATTTGATAGATTATAAATATAGATCTTCAATTTAACTGTCAAAACTTCCCCATATTCTCATTTCGTCCGCTCGACTAAATCTTTTACCTGCTTTTACTGATTTTGTCAGTCAGTTTCAAACTTCTTTTTTTCATCAACGTTCATGTGACAAGCGATCATTAGTGGTGTAAGTCCATTTGCATTTTTACAATTACTAGTAACGCCACCTAATACAAAAATCTTTGCAAGTTTTATATTTCTTGTTGACAATGCTGTAAAAAGCAGAGATTCGTTTGTCATTTTTTGATCGACCGGTTGCTTTTTCTAACGCATTATACAAAATGATTCAAGCCTGTGTTTTTATAGGTTTGTAAGAGAAAAGTGTGAACGCCTTTAAACAAATACCTCCCTTTTTCACGCCTCCTCTTCATTTTATTAGTGGTTCTCAACAAAATAAGTGTGAATAATATTATAATACCAAATATGGCTGAACCAGTACAGCGCAATCTCACGATTTATTCAGCTTTATCTTAAGGATGGTAAGGTGTTAAAAACGACGAAAAGAAAGGATTATGTAACGAAAATCTTGAAAGAGAAAGAATACCATGTAAATTATAGGCCAAGAATCATTGGCAACAAATTCACAAAAACTTTTATCAATACTGGCGTTGATATGAAACAAGATTCTGTACTAGAAAATCTTGAAAGAGAAAGACTATCACGTACATTATAGGGCAACAATCCTTGCCAACAAATTCACAATAACTTTTATTACTAATGGAGTTGATATGAAACTAGATGTTATACATGCTCGGTTTAAATGTCATTGATGTACTTAATATTTTCATTACTTTTAAAAAGATGTACGTAGTACAGTTTTATAAAAGTTCAATATTTGTTTAACCTATGTTGATATTCCTGCTGACGGTACATTCCCGTTTTTTGTTATAGAGACACTTTTCTAAATTGAGAACACATTGCATTACAGTATAGTTTAATTTGTATCAACATTTTAATAAAAGCAGAAATTATTTAGACCACAAATAATACTTATACAAAACCAACTACCACAAACAATGAAACCTGTTTTAACAAAACAAAAACAAAAATAACGAAAGCTATGATTTTTTTTTTCAAGAGACACATTCATTTTACAACATGTGTACAAACTTTAACACATTAAAACATTGAGAGCTATGGTGATAGGCAAAACAAAGAAATTTAAGATTCTGAATAGTTTATACATCAGATACATAGCTATACTCAATTCTGAGTTGAGAGTAAAGACGGAACTCAAACAAAGACAAACAACTAAAGAAATTGTCAATTCAAAACAATCAATACATAATTTAAGCATGCAATGGTCTGTTTTTTTTTCAAATTTATTCGAAATGAAAGCAAGTGACGATCACATTTGCTGAAGCTAGAAATGGGATCAAAACGTGAACTCATTTGTATAATATATTTTTTTCTAGAACACTCCATTTTTATATTTCAAGTTATTCAGCATACATTTTGTTTTTCAAAAATAACCAGTTCGCTGTGCCTCTAAGCATGTCTAATGGTGTCAAACTGGAAAGTTCGATCTATGTTTTTTTTTTTATCTGAAACGGTCATGTTAATTTAAACAGATCTTAATTGACTTAACAATAAATTATTAAGTTACATCAACATAATAATTACTTGTCTGAAAAGCTTCTGATCAAAACTGAATGTACCGCAGTGGAGAAGTTTTGAAACAAACTGAAATGCTGAACATGATTGAATAACTTATCATTCAGACTTTTTAGATGATGTTGAGATCAGACTACTGTGCATTTACATATGATCTATTGGTGTTTGATATTGTTGTCTCCATTGTCGAGTGATATACATGATTTCATCTATAACATTTATTTTGATCAATTTGAATTCAGATATGTGTTCGCATTTAATGGTGTCTCATATGGTTATGGTACATGAAGGAATAATAATATGTACTAGCTATGCAGTAATGAGTTATCCCATAATATCATTAGTTATCCGGTATTTTACTCTGAATTCTGTATTACTTCCATGTGTAACAATACATGCAATAGGGGTGTTATAAACCATTGAAATCATTAAATTAAAATTTTGAGGGAGTTGTGTTTTTATAATAATCGGTTGTACGTCAGTGTCGGAAAACATATTTAGCCTGTGCAAACTGATACAGCTCTGTGAAATTATTCGGTTTATTGATGTGTCAGGTCGTGAAATTTAATTCTTGAAATGACATTCAAATGGTATGAAGGCATAGCAGTTTTTTAGTGCTTTCCCTGTTGACTTTTCATGTGCACTGTTACAGTGTACATTCCCAAATTTGCATGTTTATTTCTGTCTGTTCAATATTTTGAATTTGCCTTACAATTCCTATTGTATAATTTGTCACCAAAATCAAGATAAGGTGATTGCATTGCTTCAATATCCAATGTTTAGATGTTGTCCTCATCATGGTTTACACTTCTGAAAATATTACATAATGTGGCGTTGTGGATCGTTGTCGGCCGAAATCGGGGAGTTAAGGTCTCACCTGTAGGATAAAACTGGTATTTACCAGTCGACTCGGGGTTGATTTAAATTTATACCACTTGAGACGTTTCAACAAGTAAAATATAAAGGAAGTAAAAGGTGAGATAAGCAATGAAACTGATATCAACTAAATACCAAATGTCAGAAGAGTAAATATATGAAGTGTTCTATGACGATGTAAAAGTAACATCAATTTCATTTCAAGTTCAAAAAGAAGCTGCTAGTATTGTACACTAGTTTAAGGTGGATCCCTACAGATATAGCAATTTTTTTTTCACCATTGAATTTTTCTTAAAATTTGCATACATATACTATGCAATGGCCTCTATAAAAATTTGAGTTAAAAATAGTATGTCACCAGACTCGTTTCCATGGTAACGGTCACCAAAGTTGGTACATCACGTGTATGCATAAATACCTACCTGGTGTAGAAACTCTGGATTTTTTTCAAGCCTTTGAAAGTATTTTGAAAGGTTTGTTCTTCATTTATTACAAAATTAACATTAAAAATGTAAATAAAACACAAATAATGGCAGTTTTATTCATATTTATTAATTTCGGCTCAAATTTCATCAACACTGCTGCACACAAAAAACACAGATTTTGATAAAAATTTCTATTTTTCTTAAATTTCCAAAAAACTGGTCCAATGAATATTTTTTAAAATTTAACAAAAGATGGTCAAAACAATGAACTTTGAAAAAAGAAAAAGAAAAATATGGGTCACCAGACTATTTTTTGACCTAAAAACGTTTTTGTGACCCCTAACGACACAGTGATCAACAGCAGTTCTTTGTAAATCTTTCAAAATTGTGTGTACAAAGTGTGACACATGTTGTCATATCCTTTGTTAAACTTACACAGAATAATACAGTTTCACAAGACAATCAAATGGAAGCAATTTTTGTTTCTACGAACAATGGTTACCATGGCAACAGGACAAGAAATTGGAAAATTCAAGTTTTTGCATTGTTCTGATGTGCAAGAGTAACTACATAACAGACAAAAAGAGATCAAATACCATGATTTCAGAGCTACAACACATGGCTTCTATGTAAATGTAAACAAATATTATGATAATGCAGCTTATATAAGCATTACTGTGGTCTAAAATGAGCAAAACAAATTACTCAGCAGTTAGCGAAAATCACCATATATTTTTTTCTTTCAATTATCGATTCATAGATACCAGTCATGCAAGTAAATGGATTAAAAAAATGTCAAGACTTTGTCACCCTGTCCTCAATTAATGATTTAAGTTTGATGAGGCATAATAATAATACATTATATATTTTCAGTTGTCATAGTAACATAAGCAAAAAATGATGAAATTATAACTTTTTCAAAGGTTTTTCAACTTTCTTTAATGCCTCAATAATTAAGCAAAAATATAGACTGTTATATTTAAAAATATGTATATAGTTTACTCCTCTGATTCAGTCAGATACTGATTGATAGTCATACACAAATGTAGCATAATTAGAGTTCATTTTGTTCCCTGTCAAAATTGTCAATCCTTCGATCCATATTGAATAGTACAGGTTGCTCCCATTCAGATATATCATATTACTATTAGTGGCATTAGAAAAGAAAATACCAGTTGTTTTGCTCCCTTCATTTAAAATGTCACATCTTGGCATATTACATCTCTGGAATAGGTTTGATCCACTGACAGCTGCTACCTGAGTGATGGCACTATGTCTTAAAAGACGTCTTGTTTGAAAATCAAATTTTACACATTGATCTATATATATATATATATTATAAAGAATATGAGAAGGAATTTGATGAATGTCACAAGCACTAAAGCATTGTCGTTTACTTCAGTTTCTATTTCATATGTTGTTCCTTCTTTAACATTTGAACTACATGGGGCCTTCTTTCTATTCTTTTTATTTCAATTCTTCTCTTTTAAATTCTGTGTTTTCTGGTTATCTCTTTGCCTCTCCAATTTCTAATTCATACTTTCCCAAACTTTCAGAGTAAATTTGCCGGGGGAACGTTTTGATGCTGCATTTACCTGAAAGTTTAATTTATTATTTTGTAATGAAAAGGTGTAATATATAGTATTATAGTGCAAAATTAATCCATTCATGTATTAAAACATCAATTAAAAAAAGATTATATACCTGACTAACAAAGGTACTCATTAAGCGTTTAATATCATGATGTGATATATGGCCAAGTTTTTGAAGTGATTGCAATAATTAGGTCACCTGATGGGTATGCAATTTTATATTGCTTCTGCATATGATGTACATCCATTTTAGGGTTTTTTTAATGTTCAATGGCAATTTGGAATGAAATATAAGTGACAATATAGGGAGCATTATAGTGTCCAATACAAATGCAAATTCAAGGTATAAATTTAATAGCCGTGACCTTGACCATTCACCTTAAATCAATACAGTTGAACTGTTCTTTTTGGTATACATTTACATATACAGCATGTGACCAAGTTTGTGATAAACATAAGTAATCTACATCACATAGTTAGCTTCATTGTTACACATAGGAACCAGTGGCAGTCTTTATAATATATTTTATATTTATTAAATAATAAAATAAAGTACAAATCAATAGTGTAAAATGTGGATCACTGTGACCTTCATTTGCCTGGAAGCTGAGGTACTAACTGAGACTCTGAGAGTCATCTGTGTATATAAGTTTGCATGATCTGACACCTTTAAATATGGTTGCTGAGATATGAAACTGGATGTTTAACATAACCAAAGTCAGTGAAGTGGCAAATGTATGTCATCTTTGTACAAGTTTACATGATCCTACAATTTATAGTTGATGAGATATGAACTTGTGCATTTCAACTTGAGGCAAACTAAAATCTACTAAATCTATTGTCCAAAAAAAAAAATGTTTGTGCCAGCAAAACACCATTATCAGATTAAAAAGTATCAAATGAAACCTCAAGTTTTTTCTCAAAGGAAACTGCATGTAATTATCCTAAAATGTATGTATTTACCATTGACAGCCATTTATATCCTTCATTTTTCTGTAAAACTGCTGCTAATAACCTGCTGTTCTTTAAAGGATGATGATCCACCATAAGACCTACAATTGATAAGAAATATAATAAAAATCGTATTGAGAGTAAATTTATATAATTATAGGATTCATAATGAATGAGACTTTTATATTACTTGTTATCAACTTCGGTTGTTCAATAACAAAATAATAAAAATAATAATAAACGAGCCATTTGTTTTAACTAAATTAACTATAAATTCACTCACAAACTGAAAAAAAATCATTCCATATAATAACATGAGCATTGCAAAGTATGGCATCCTCTCACCATAGAAGACTGTGGCTTCTAAAGATTTCACAAGGGTGTTTAGAATCTACAAGGTCCACTTTGACCTTGACATTTGGGCATTTCTTTTCTATTAATAAACTTAAAGCCTTTTAATTCTTTAAATTTACCTGTATTACTTTCATAGTTCCAACCAGTACCAAACATTTGCTATTCTGCAACAAAACTGGCTTCAACCTAATGAAAAAAAAGTAGTACAACATATATTAATGAAAGTACATGCAGTGTTCAAATACTATAGCTAAAACATATTACATTTAAAATTAACTGGAAACTCAGGCTGTCAACAATGAAATTTGTGATAATAATGTATAAAGGCTTTCAAAACCAAATTGGGTTCATTAAATTTGTTGAAATTGAATTTGTTTAATAAATACCAATGTTACTAAATCTAGTTCAATATTTTTGTTGAAACAAATTCTGTCATGATCTATACATCAAAGTCTTCAAGTATATATAACACTGCCTTACCAAAAAATTAATTTGAAATATTGACCCTACACTTGAAATTATTACCAAGATCTGTTAATTCATTTTTATGACTGCTAGGGCAAATATGAATATAATTATGGTCCTCATTATACTTTATATCTATTTTGGTAAAGTATCAAAAAAAAAACTTTGAAATTATTTAACTAAAGATTTAATTACCTTCCAATTACTCATTATATTAACCATGTTTAAAACTGTTTCTTCTCCTGAATTAATTTACAGGATTCTTTTGCAACTGCAAATATTTTCTATCCGGTTTCATTCTCCTTTTTCTTTATGGTGGATGAATTCACAGAAAGTATATTCAATCCATTAAGAAAATAGTTAAAAGGTGTGGCACTAATTCCTGCATGTATCATTCCTGAAAAATATGATATGAAATGTCAGTCTGCGCATTGGTTAATTAGATAAACTATTTAGACTTTTGAGTTCATAATTTAATTTGGAATATACAATTGTTTTTTTTTTAAAATTTATATTTATATAATATGATTGTAAATTCATATTTGCCTTTATTCTTATAGATCACAGACTCATATAAATTTCTGATAATGTGGAGTGAGGGTGGGTGTGGCTTGCATGCCCCTTCCTCGTTTTCTTTTTTCCCTTCATGCATTATCCTGCATTCTACACATCATTCCATCTGTGTTTTTAAATGACTAAATCTCTAAGGTATCAGACCACATGGTCTTTGATCACATGCAAAAGATGATTAATATGAAAATTCTGATTATAAGATAAAGACAACTAATATTTCAAGTTTGTAAAACATTATTTCTGTGAATGAATCATTGGGACTGTATTTGTTTTCTTTTTCAATTCTAATTTCATTTATGAAAAATTGCTACCAAATAATTATTTACAAAATAATCCTCCCCTTTTTGATGCAAAACTAAAAAGCCCCTTATGCTGTTGTCTTTCTGTTCATTGCAAAAATGATAAAAAAAGTCCAGCTTCCTAAAAAATTTGGGCACCACTTCCCCTCAAAATTATGCTTTTTACCCTCAAACCACACAAACCCCAGACCATAATAGAGGGGAATTCAAGAAAGAAAAAGAGAGGTGTGGGGCAGGTTCATTTATACAAGACATGAAACCATACACCTTCTCCACCAAGTAAAATGTGTAAAGAGAATCTAGAGAGAAAATTTAAATATCTTACCAAGTGCAGCTTTTGAATTGATAACAAATTCACCAGTCCCATTTCTTTTCCTCGTATCTACGCTGTTACATATGATTGATATGCAGGTTACATGCACTGCAGCTACTACAAGGTAGCATGGTATGGACAAAATGCTCCACTGCCTCCACCTCCAAGGTCGTATTTCCGTTTGCCGACAGTATCCGCAGGGGACAATCACACATCTTAACGAACAGATTCTGCGCTAGGTGGTGAGCCAGAGCTAAACTCACAAAAACTTGTATTAGATGATCTTATAAGTTGAGAATCATTTAAGACTGTGTGAACTTTCAGGCTGAAGCTATTCATATTCTTCATTTTAACGAAAGCATGAGTTTAATCTTTTTGATAAACCTTCCTCTCTTCCGTGCGATCAGCTGTAAGTTGTTTACACACGTTATCAACAGGCGACAACGGAACTGTACCCGTGACCCAGATATATAGGCGATATATCCTAAGATTAAAACAGGGAACCAGTTTTACATCAGTAAAACGTTGTTATCTCCCTTAGTATCGGAAGTTACCTTAAGTAGAAATACTTGATACTCTCCGTCGAAAACATGAACGACAGAAGTAGTCTCGATCATCCAGCCGCTTTATTTTTCAAAGTATAGCGTCTGGATGACAAATGATATAAAAATGGTAATTTATGACAATCGGAATAGTATCGGCTTTTTTAGCTTGTTTTTAAGGATAATGTCCAAGACGAATAACCAAGAAGTTGGTTATTGACTTCGGAAGAAATGACATTACGATAATATTATTGAAAAGCCCGAGGGAATCGATTGTTGTTAAAAGCTATTTATAATTTTTTTGTGAAGAAATACAAGTCATGGAAAACACCAGACAGCATGGCTTTCATGGCCGCGAAGGAAAATAACAGCACATCCAACCTTGGTAAGATGAAAAACAACACAAACTGTAACATAAATCTCAATGCAACCTGATACATCGAGTAGTTATATTATTTCATGCATGTCCGTGCTATGCAAACGAGTTAATAATTATACAATAAATGGCAATTTTTGTATTGACTGGGACCACTCGAACAGTCGTACACGCTATAAATACATTTTGGGATTGATATGTAGTATCTTTAACGTTATAAATACTTGATGGAAAAGTGCTATGACGCCGAAATATGACCTTCAAGATAAGTTTGTTGTATCTATCTGTATAAGGGAGTTTGCATCTTGGTATGTGTAAAAAGGGGGAGGAGAGATACACAATGATGTACACATTCAAAGGAGGGAACGCAATCCAAAACCATAAGTAGAAGAAAAACAAACAAAGTGTATCTAGAAGATGCCATTTTGTACATACACCAAACGGTCAAAATGTTTTATACTCGATTTTTTTTTTAAACAAATGCATTTAGCTTATACAATACAGATAAGAAGTGGGACACGTTGTTATGAAAAGTAATTTCGTTTAACTCATATTTCACTATCTAAAAATTTAAATATACTGTTTGTAAACAAAGTCTGGACCGGACAACTTAAAATAGAAAAACACATTTTTTGCACTTTTATTGCACTATTAAAAGGCATTTTTTTTCACACACAAAAAAGTTCATAAATGAATAAAAATGTTGTCAGGGAAGATATCAAGTCGCTATCTAAGCCTGTATTTTTTTTTAATGCTGAATAAAACCATGGCACGAGAAAAACAATGACAATTCGATTTTCTGCTAAACAATAGACAATAAAACAATAGATTCAGCATCAATGAAAGGAGGTGCCAATGATGCAGCAACCGGTGAACCCAATGACATAAATTACAAAAAGTAGACATCAACATGATTAAGAGGTCATCACGTAGACTAAAACAAAAAGTGAAGATAAAAGTACCAAAATGTCAACATTATACAAATAAGGAGATGCGGTATGTATTCCAATGAGACAACTATCCAACCAACTTCAAATGAAGTGGATGTGAGCAATTATAGGCCTTCAACAATGCGAAAAACCCATGCATGGTTTGGATAGAGAATAGAAACAGGGAATGTGTCAAAGAGACACCAACCCGACCAAAGAGCAGGAAACAGCCCAATGTCACCAATGGGTCTTCAACGCAGCGAGAAAATCTCGCACTCCGAGGGCAGGATTCAGCTTGCCCAAGGACAATAATTTATACAATATATTTCTATGATGTTTTTTTTTCAAACAATTTGTTTTTTATATATGCTATGCAGGTGATCAAAAATTATAATGATTTTAATATTTACTTTCTTTTGTAGACAAACCAATGATGATTTCTGGACACAGATTTTATGTGAAAAATGTGAAGAATTAAAAAAATATATAATGTTCAGGATTTTCATTGTATCATGCTTAAACAGCTTCAATTTTATAAGAACAAGATTCAAAGATTTTTTTTAAATACTGAAGCATCAATCAGTATAAATAAATCACAGAACCAAAAATGTTGGGTAAACATTATTTTGATAGCAACCGCAAAGGAAAAAAAGGTACACAGACGTATATTAAGTAAATAAAACAAAAAACAAGAAACACATTGTTGTCAGATATGTCAGAGAATTAAGATTTGTTTTAACAAATTAAAAATCATATAAACAATAAAACAATTAGTTTTCAGGTTTGAATTATATCTCATTTTCATGTCGGGCCCTTTTATCGTTGACTATATGGTATGGACTTTTTTTAGTATTGAAGGCCGTGCAGTGACTATATTTGCTTATATCCACGTCATTTGAACTCTGTTGGGTTGTTGCCTCGTTAGCAATAATAACAATCTCCTTATTTTTATATAAAGGTTCACAGGAGAAGTTATTGTTCTTGTGAAGATGTCCTTTATTGCATGCTAATACATGACGGATAGGATATTACAATAGTTGGAGAAGTAGAATACACTTTTGAGTTATTGTTTTTTTTACAAGTTACCATGCAGTATGGGATAAATCCCATTCCATCTTCTCCATGTGCATGATACAAACATGCATTTAAAGAGTATTGGGTTTCATGAATGACTGGTTAAGTTCTGTATTTCCTTCATAGACACGGGGTAACGCTGGCAAAGTGGTATTGTGTGAAGGTTGGTTCCTAAATATTTTCTTCCCAAAAGGATAAGGCGATATAGATTATTGGTGTAACAGCTAAGAAACATTCTGACTATTCTGTCGTTTGCAGTTAAGATCAGTTAATTTTGTAAATGAAAATTGAGTTGGCTCATTGTGTGATCTCACTGATCTGCCAGTAATAGCCGTTAAGGAAGTTTTCCTACATTGCAATCTTAGTATTTGTATGAGTTGTTTTTCTTGACATAGACGTAACTTGATGTGTGCTTTTTTTGTAAGGTAAGTGTATCAGATATCTGAAGGAATTATAAAAAGGACAGCATAAATTATAACAGAAATTTACAGAAATGAGAATAATGAGACAAAACTAAGAAAAATGGATAAAAAAAAAAGAATAAGAGACTAATGGTGTGATACAATATAAAGAACAGAGAATAGTGGCGTGCTATATTGTGAAGAATAGAGAATAATGGTATTTTATAGTACGAAGATAAGAGAATAACATGGTGTGCTATAATATAAGAATTAGATTGATTGTTGGTTTGCTTGGTTATCGTCTTGTGGTAAATAGTGGTAATGTTCAGGACGAAAAGAAATTAACAATAAATATAAAAAGGAGGTCCTGAATTATAGGCCGTTCGGGATACAGGTCGGAGAAATTATAACTCAATAGAAAATTAGGGTTTTTTTGTATTGGGGCACACATTTAGCTTTAAGTACAACTGACGGTCCACCTACGGACCCCTCTCTTAGCGCGCAGAGAGCGTGGTATCCTCTATACACGAGCAGTTGCGGATCCAGAACTTGTTATAAGGAGAGGTTCATGGTTGATAGTAGAAAAAGCGGGACAAGTGTGTGTGGTCAACGCTTCTTTAAAATTAACACAAATTTTCAATAACACTTTATAAAGCCCAAAGATTCGAACCTAGTCACTGTCTGTGAATGCTAGTTCGACCTTTCTTTACCAATTCATTAAAAAAAAATGTACATGTACAAAATTCAGGTAAAAAAGAACACCGTTAATAACCGTTTTTAATCGTTTTTTTTTTTTTTAGAAATTTAAGCTAGAAAAGTAGTTTATGATAAAGTCTTAGATAAAAATCATGACAAAAAAACTTATAAGTACTTTTAATCAACACAAAAATGTCCGAAATCTGAATAAGTACGGCCAAAAGCTTTATTTTGACTATAAATCACTGAGACAAGAATACGTGTGAAACGGTATTTGAAGCCGTTTTATTTATTTGACATCACGTCTCTATTAAAATTGCCCATCATCAAGTTGGGCAACATAGGGTGAGCTACAAGAATGTCAGTTTTAATAATCACATATACATATACTAGTACACTGCTTACTGTGTTTTTTAAATTATTTTGGGGATAACGGAAGTGCTATTTATAGATAAGTTCTATATTTAATTATTTGTTACGCCCCCTATAAATATCTGACCAGTCCGGTTTATCACCCCAGACGCTATATTTATATATGCGTCTGGGTAATCGAGACTACGACAGAAGAAGCTCCTGAAATGAGTGATATACATATATATTTTTTTTTGAAACTACCGTTCTAGTTCTACATTCTAGTTTTATTCATTATAGTAAGGAAGCAAACTCCCCAAAAAAAATAGAAATAAAAACCTAAAAATAGCTTATATTGTGACATTGCCGAAAAGTCCAAACCGAATCAAAGAGTTATTCCAATTGATATGAAACGTATGCAGATAGTATTCAAAATAAATCGACTGAGAATAATGTCAGATGGAGGTTAGGGGCACACAGTAAACGTGTGTTTGTTATTTGTTGAGAAACAGATCTGAAGTAACAAATCTAAATTCATCAAAACAGCAGCCAATCAATCATGCCATCAACCAAGACTCCGACCGAGGTTACCATGTCAGTTGATGTTTAGTTGATAATTATTTCATAACCTTTCATACATAATTTATATTTTATCTTCTAGCTTTTAAATTTAAATGAGTTTCTGTAGTTATCTCATTGCAATGATACTGTTTTAACTTATTGAACTTGCATAATTTGTAGGATCAACTTATCATTAATCTGTTAATATACGTTGCTTAAAGTAAATAGCTATAAGTTTTTTTTTATGCATAATTGGCACGATCAAATTAATTTAGACCATATATTTTATTTAGGACA